CAGAGAAGAGTTAGCTTTCCCTTTTCTTACCAAAAGAAAAGAAAAGAAGTCGGAGGCCAGGAGAGGACGTAGAGGTCCGGGTGCACCGGGAGGAAGGCCTTGCAGCAGCAGCTGTCCGGACGAACCCTGGGAGAGCCTGAGCAGCTTCCTCTGGGTTTGCTGGGCCAGGACATTTGTTGATTCTAGAGCCCAGTCCCTAGCTCATGATTTCCTCCCCGGTTGCCATGGTCCCGTACCGAAAACACAGCAAACTCCTGGCCCTGGGCAGCTCATTTATTTCAAATATTCCTTGCAGCTGGAATCCAACCATGTTTGGGTGTCTGGGCTGGAGCATGAACTAATTGCTCTGTCTTCGGCCCCCTCCCCAGCTCCCCCAGCATAGTTTATGGTTCAGTAAAGTCCACATTCCTCATCTCACCGAGGAGCAGAAGGGCGGGCTGGCGGGAGGGAAGCTGTGTGCAGGATAGAGCCGGGAGGCCTCTTCCCATCTATGGCCAAGCCCTGAGAGTCTGCTACCTGCTCGAAGGCAGGGGATTAATTACAACCACATGGGCCAAGTCTGCACAGATGGTTTTATTAATACCACTCCCTTCAGCACAAACTCGCTCCCCCAGAATCTCCTGGCAACACAAAGGCCCTTATTTTCTCTGTGCCCCCTCCCCCGATGCCTGACCCCACTCCTCCCCTGCCACCCCCTTCAAAGGAAGCCGGAGTTCCAACTGAAACCCAGACATGAACCCCAACCTAAAAATAATTTAAGACTATCCCTTTCCTCTGACCACGTCTAGGGAAGGCTTCTAGGGGTCCCCCTTCCTAATACCCATCTCAAGCTTTGCAGTCTTTATCTGGGAAGAAAGAACGGTTATTAGAAAGTTGGTTGGGGGACCAGCAGTTGGTGTAATGGCTATGTTGCTGGACTCCCATGTAGTCAACTGCGGTTCAAGTCCCGGAGCCCGTGGCTTAAACTCATGCCAGGCGTGTGTGCGTGTGTGCCCAAGATCCCGAGAGGGGAATGGAGAAGGGATTGCAGCGTGGCCATCCTCCCTAGGGGGTGATTTCTCACTTTCTGTCTCTCTGTCTATCTTTCTGGTGAGTGCACACACCCTATAGCAAAAACCTCTAAAAAAAAGAAAGTTGGTTTAAGAATGTTTGGTCCAGGGGACTAGCAGGTGGCATGGTGGTTAAGGCGCTGGACACTCCCACATGGCTGACCACGGTTCAAGTCCTGGACCTGGTAGCTTGCTTTCCCACTTTCCCTCTCTCTCTGTCTCTCTCTCTCTCTGGTCAAATTAAAATAAATGAATGAATAAATAAAATAAAATAAAATAAATAAATAAAGTTAAGTAAAAATTAAAAAAAAAAAAAAAGAATGTTTGGTCCATCTTGAAAGACAAAGTCCCAGTGCAGGAACTGCCATCTTGCAGACATGCACGAGCCTTTAAAGCATTTGTTTGCATGCTTGCTAACCCGCTGGGCTGTCTTGAGGGCTCCATTTGACTCTTGCTACCCTCCTATGAGATGGGCACTATAAAGACTGATGAGTTACGGGGGCTCGTCCAAGGCCACAAAGCCAATATCTGAACCCAGGTCTGTGTCCAGAGCCCACATACTTATCCCTGGGCTGAGCCAGCAGCACGCTGAATAACTTGCCTCTGCCCAGCAACCTTGCAGAGAAAGAGCTGATACAGTCACAAACAGTGGTCGAGCTGTCTTAGACCAGGGCCAGTAGATGGTGTGGTGGCTAAGGTGGCTGGATCCACGTGGCCCATGGTGGGGTTCAAGTCCCAGACCCAGCAGCTTGGACAACACACCAAGTGTGTACATGTGCTTGCCAAAAACCCCCCCAAAAGGGAGAGATGGACGAGAAGGCATTGCAGTGTGACTGACCATGTCCCGGGGGGTACTTTCTGGCTTTCCCTCCCTCTGCCTGTTTCTCTCCAGCAAGCTCACATGCCCTCTAGCAAATTAGAAAGCCAACAAAACCCTCTCTGCCTGGCCTCAGAAATGTAGATTCAGCCCATCTCAGACAGGCCCTGGAATCTGCATTTAACCATCGCCTTCGGGGTGTTGATGGTACAGGGGGCCTGAGGGAAGCTGGTCAGCAGGCACTTTGGGAAAAGGAAATGGGACTTGGGTCCCAAGGGTCCTGGGCCCTCAGGCCAGGCTCTCTTCACAGCGCAGCAGACCCCTGACTTGCCTTCAGAATGAGAAATCCCCAGAGGACGCTTGTTCATTCTTTGGAAACTGGTCATGACACGTGATCACATGTAATACATGTCTTGACTGTTCGCTTTATTACTCATCGATCCTCTGAATACACCAGAATTTCTTGTCTTTCTGCTGGGGGCTCTGCCCGTGGTGTTAGCAGAACAGGTTCACTTGGCTAAGGTTCTGTAAATGTCACTGTGTACTTGGGGACACAAAAGTGAAGGAAGGATCTGCTTCTTCCACCTGGTGGGGAGGGGGGGGGGGGGGGG